TAATAAAACATTTTGTTGTTCTCTGACTGCAATTTTCACCTCTTCTTTCTTCTATGGTTCAGTTCCATCCCTGAATCATCCACTGATGAACAATTCTATTCATCCTTTAAACTCGGAACAGCTGGCTTTTCTTTAGAGGCACTTGGATTGCACCAAAGTCCATTCTTGGTTTCTCTGTCTGTAATAAAACATATAAATCATTATTTGTGGAAGAAACTTATGGAAGAATCTACAAGACTCTTTGGTATCATTTTTGAATCTATATTTGAAAGATTTTAGAATATCTTCTATTTTACCCTTTTAAATATTAAAAGATAAATACACCACAGTTGAGCTTTAATTAAATTCAGTTTTGACTAATAGTATAATTTGGATTCAACCCTCTGCTTCATATTAAATTGCCAGTAGTACACTATCATTTTTTCACTATCAGCACAAATCCCAAAACATTTAAGAGCCTAACAATACCTTATTCTATTATTATGCATCAGTATTATTATGAAATTCTTCTGATCTTGTGTTCTCATTAACTCCTTGAAGCCAGAAGATTATACATGTAGAAGCCCTGATCAGAAACTCCATAATGAACCTAAGCAAAATCTATAGCATTAAATGCTTGAAGAAGAAGCCAGGTCACCAGAAAGAAGAGTAGAGGTACTAAGCCACTGTCAAACATTAGTACCAAGAAAAATATGTTGCGATGGAATGGCTACTTAAAAAATGACTTGGAGTCAGGTGTGTTGGTGCAAACTTATAATCCCAGCACTCAGGAGCCTGAGGCAGGAGAATTACTAGACTTTGAAGCCAGCCTGTGCCACAGAGTGAGTTCAAACCCAGCCTGATCTGCATAATTAAACCACCTCAAAAAGACAAAAAAAATTACTGGATTTTTAATTAGATTTAGACTAAGGATTGTCTCAAATTATAGGTAAATACATTTATTTCATACAATTATTTTTAACTAGTGAATTATGGTTTTTGAAAAATTAGAAGATAAGAGAGAACAATGAATAATGTTGACTCTACACGTGTACTTTAGAAGATGGTGAGGATCCAAAGAAGTTCCAAGTAAATCACTCCTTTCTCTTTCTTTCTTTAATAATACATAAGTGGCAAAATTTTAACTTATAAGTTAGACTGTTTAGCATGAATACAATAAACATGAAAAATTACACTTGTAATATCTTTAGGATGTCAATTTGTGATGGTTCTGAGTTTTCGGTTCATATGAACACACAAACATGTTACCAAAATGTTACTATTTTACTCATTTGGCTTGAATTAACTGCATTTTAAAACCACTATCATAACACAGGAGGCTTCAGAATCTATGAAATGCAGAAACCGTAGAAGGGGGGGCTGGGGATTTAGTTCAGTGGCATAAGCGCCTGCCTTGCAAGCAGGCAGTCGTGAGTTCGATCCCTGGTACCAGTAAAAATGAAAAAGCCAAAAAAAAAAAAAAAAAAAAAAAAAAACCGTAGAAGGTTATTGTGTAAGAGACAGTCACTAATTCTTTGTGAGGTAGTGAACACAGCCACTTAGATTTCATTTAATGAGCAGGTTCTAATGTGGTAAAATACAGATACCTCCATATAATATGACAATTATAATATGCAATATAACAACCTTTGTTAAATTCCTATCATCTTGTTTAAAAAGCCTGTATTATTATTGTTTTGGAGTTTTGTTGCTGTTGTTTGTCTCTTCTGCTTTTTGTTTTTCTTTTTATGTGTTCTTTGGTCATTTAAATAAAATTTTAAAATCCTTTGCACTTTAATGGCAATGCCAAGAAATTAATAATAGCAGCTGAAGTTTTTGATTTGCATTATTTAATTAAACTGTACTGTTAAATTTAAACTGCTTTGAGTATGTCCTTTCTTTTTCTTTAATGAACTATCAAGCAAAGATATTAAAGTGCAAAAGTTGTGGAAGGGGTAGAGAATTTGGGAAAGGAAAGAAAGCTCATAGAACCTTTGAGGGGAATGCAAAAGCCAATTAACCCAGAGTAATAAATTGGCTTAGAAACCCATGATAATAAAATGATTTAGAAACACCGCTGAGAAAACATCAGTAAAATGAGGCTTTTGTCAGTATTAAAGAAGGAAACTCTTCCTCATGGTCAGCTGTAAGCCATCCACACCTAGGTAATTGTTAACACCATTGTCTCTCACAGAATTCTCACTCCAGGACCCCAAGATGTTCCCCAGTGACTCACAGAAAAGATCTGTTTTGCTCTTGCCTCAAAGAGAAAAACTCAGACACTAAATTTTGTTACCAGCAAGTGCTCTGCTCTTGAGTTCCTGTTTCATCCCCAGCCATATGCTGTTGCCAGCCCTGATATTGACAGAGTGACAATCCAAAGCCCATTGTTCCACCCGGGGGGGAGACTGACCTCAGGATCTGTGCTCTCCAAAACCTTTGCTCAAGAATAATTAATCGTAAATGTTTTACAAAGCCATATGCTAAATAATTTCAAATAATATTATTCATAACAAAATGTGAATGTAGTTATTTTAAAATGAAGTGGCTACATGCATCTGATGGAATCAAAAAGCATGTCTAGAGTATGAGAAATCTCTTGCTGTTCAAATATTTTGTGTCATTTTGTCTTGAAATTGTTTTCATTCCACTTCCTCAAAGCAATTTTCTCCTAATTTAATATTCTTTTCTGTTTGAAAGTGTTTTGATACCTTTGTCTTACTTCACTGCTATTAAAGCACATCTATAAATTCAAAATATGAAATGCTTTTATGTCTTACAACCACAGTTTTCAAAATATTTTAAAAGATTTTTCTGTATTGATTTGTCACTACATTTTTTGTTAGTATACAAATGAAAAAGTAAAATGAATATATTTAAATTTTGGCTACAAGTATGAAAACTAAATTTTAATCAGATTTTCACCTTTTAATGAGTTGAACTAGAACACACATTTTCTGTAGTCTTTTATTTAGACCAATGACCTAGCACATACTGAACTTATAAAAACATTGTTCTTTGCACTTAACAAAATTTTGTTAAAAGAAAACTAAAACTTTAGGCATTTCATGAGGTGAAATATAATAAAAATTACTTGCAATGAGAATAAACATTTCATGACAAAGTTTGATAGCAGAATACTAATGAATTTATTTAATTATATGCACCAAATCCAAAAGGAATTGTAACACTTTATTCATCAATATCTTCAAAAAATTTGTTTAGAAAAATACTCTGATTAATTCAAAATAATTAGTCACATTACACGCTTCTCTAACTACCTATTTCCTGATACTATGAGTCTCATTAAATGTCAAAAAAGAATTTATTCTCATTTAAATTTATAGAAGAAGAAAATACATAGAACGATCATTAAACTTACGTGTTATTACTTTTGGCTTAGATTGGCCAAAATTAAGAAATGGAAGACATCAAGGTCTATAATAGAAAATTGTCATTATTCTTTACAGAAGGAATTCCCCTCTCAACTTTCCTACCCACATTTATCTATTGTTTTAGTTTACTATACCATGCACATTTTGATAATTTTTTAATTAACTTTTTAGGGAGAAAATTTAAGCATCCCAAGCATAATATTATGAACCAAAATAGTAGTGAAATGTTTAGTTTAATTCACTGTGTCTAAGAATTTGTCCTTGTATTGTACAGATGATATTGCAAGTTAAGGTCAGAGCCAAGAGGCTTCTCATGCTGTAACATATAAATTACTGGTAAATATAAGAATAGATTTTACCATTTGTGGGCAACTTTGGTACTGAAGCAAGAATTGAATGCAAGGGCTCCTTCTGGATAGAAGTGTGTTATTGGAAGAGCTGCGTTACAGGTAGGATCATACCCAGAAAGACATAGGCTGGGTCCAGATGCAGTGAGATGGGAAGATGAGTGGACTCACTGGCTCAGGGAATGGGTTTAACAAGTCACCTCTCATCCAAAAATACATATGTACATACATACATACATCTTCTGTCACTAATCCCTTCTTCAAGCAATATACTACATACTAACTTATCCTTAAAATACAGGCAGAGAAAATAACTAAGAATCCATTTGTAAGAAAAAAGGATTACTGCAAAAACCTTTAAAATAGTCAAAGGAAAAAAATCTTATGTAGTCATCTCTGCATTTCACTGAAGCGTTCATCAAATGTTATGCAGCCATCAGTCAATTATTTCCTCCTTCACTCACACATTCATATATACTCAATATCCATGATTAAATGAATGTGTCCCAAAGAACAATCCTTGCTCTGCTGGAATATTACCTGAGGCACAGAACTGAAGCAAGAGCTACAGTAGCATTTCCAATGAGAAGTTATACATCATCCAAACAAATGTAGGGAAGGGCTGCATTACAGGATCTGGAGACGGGGTATGGCAAAGACAGGATGGGCGTGCAGCTGCGGAAAAAAAGAAAGGAAGTGTGGAAAAGCTGAGAGACACAGACTCTGGAACGTCCAGATTAAAGTTGTTACACTGAGCAGAGAAGAAAACCTCGGATAAATTCAGGGGAACTGTACTTCAGCTGGGTGGTAGTGGAGAAGGCTGTGAAGACAGGAAGCCAGATATGTAGAGAAGCATGAAAAATAGAATTTCAAAGCATTGTCCCAAAGACAATTAGTACAGGAGATTCAGTTAGGAACAGAGAAAGCATCAGAGTACTATTAGTAAACCACCAAAAAAAATCCTTTTTACAGTTTCATGTTTGTGATAAAAGACACATAATGTAGTATTTTCATATTAACTATTTTAACTGTACAATTCAGTAGCAGTAAGCACCTTAAAGTGTGCAAAATCACTGCTGTAGATCTTGTTTCCCATCTGACACTGACGTTCAGTTTCTGTTACACAGTGTGCCCATTCTCTTACAGTGCCAAGTACAATAAATGACATTCAACTTTCTATCTCTGTATATTCAGCTACTCTACATTCCTCATATAAATACAAGCATGCCACTAGTATATTTTTGTCTCTGCATTACATCATCTAACAAAATACATAAGACTGCTCACTTTGGCAGCACATATACTAAAACTGGGACATACAGAGAAGATTAGCACGGCCCCTGTGCAAGGATGACACGTAAATTCAAGAAACGTTCTATATTTTTAGCTGTGCGAGTCATGCTGGTCCCCAAAGAAGAAAGTCAGGTAGTGCTTCCCGTGAGCCTACTGGCCTGTGGGCTGAGAATCAACACCCCAACCTACCATTAGTAAGCAACCAGCTGGTTCTGAGGAGAGGCTGAGTTGATAGCAACTGAGGTACATGATGGAACTTAGGCGGCCAAATAAGCAAGCAATTCGCTCCCCTTCCTGGTAAGCACCCTTTGATGGAGCCAGGAGGAGAACCAGTCAGTGTCTCCCACAGGTTGAGAATCAAACATCCCATCTCTCCTCTCCCCCACCCCCACCATTAGCAACTGGGGGCAGAGGTCTGAGCATCTCTTGGGAGGATGACTGTATGCAATATAGTAAATATGGGGGATTTCCTTCTATCTTCTGTTTGAAGGCAAATGTTATTTTCACTGTTTTGCTTTGTTCTGATTAATTGTTTGGCTCTATTCAATATTCTCTTTTGATTGGTTTTACAATGTTCTGTATTTGGTTTGATTTCACTATACCTAATTGAATGGACAACTACTGTGAAGATAATGAGATATACTATGGTACCTATTACTGTTACCCCGGTATTCTGCTATGAAGGTCTGTACTGATTTCACTGCGTTGTCTTGATTGGCTTTGTTCTGTCTTGTTCTGTTGTATTCTACAACCTATGAAATAAAAGTTAAAAAAAAAAAAAAACAACTAAATGCTTGTATTGTTTGGTTGATTTTGCAGGTCTGAGGCCAGTGTTCTGAACATATATTGGGAGGATGACACTATGGGACATAGCAAATATGGGGGATTTCTTTCCATTTTGTCTGTGAAATGCAATATTGTTCTCACTATTTTGCTTTGCTCTGATTAACTGTTTTGCCTTATTCAATGTCCTGTTTTGATTGATTTTCTTCTGTTTTGTTTTGTTTTCATTTTGCCATACTAGACAAATAGTTGTAATGGACAACTATTGTGAAGATATACTATGGTATCTACTCTTCACCTAGTGTCATATTTTGAAGTTCTGTACCAATTTTCTACTTTGTTTCCATTGACTTTGTTTTGTCATATATATATATATATATATATATATATATATGTATGTATATATATATATTACATATATATGTATATATATATATACATAATACATATATATACATATGTATATATATACATACATATACCAAAAATATACATATGCATATATATGGTCATCTCTGGTTTATTTTGTATTACAACTGTGTGTACATGTGTGTGTGTGTGTGTGTGTGTGTGTGTGTGTGTGTGTGAAACAAGAGAGAGAGAGAGAGAGAGAGAGACAGAGAGAGAGAGAGAGAAACTCTTATTGTCTTCTTTGCTATACAGAAACATTTTAGTTTGATGTAATTACTGTTTGAATTTTTAGTTTGCTTGTCTATGCTTCAGGGATCATATCCCAAATATGTGTCCAATACTATGAAGTGTTTCTTCTATATTTTCTTTTAGTGTTTCCTCTTATTTTATTTTTCCAAATTTTTTCATGTTACATTTAAGCTTTCATCTGTTTTGAGGTGATAAAGTATAGAGTGACAGAGGTCTAGTCTCTTTGTTCTGCAACTGGAAACCTAGTTTTCCTAGAATCATTTAATGGTCATTCCTTTCTCCAAAGTATACACTTGCTGCATTGTTGAGAATCTGGTTAAATCTATGTGCTTTGATTTCTCAGTTTTCTGTTCCATTACACTGATATTTGTGCCTCTAAAATTGTTTCAGTTACTATAAATGCATGCCATTTTGTTTTACTTTTTTTATTTTATAAAAAAGACAGAAAATCTTATAAAAATTATAAAAGAGTAGCAATCGTTAATACATTGCATATTGCTATCTCCAAAGTAGTTAGAGTACAAGACATAATTCAAAAAGATTCTAACAAAAAAGAAACATAATAAAATGAAACTTTACTTTCGACAACATAAGATCAATTAGTAGTATACATGAAACAAATTAGCATATCTATTAAAATATTTTGAAATAAAGAAAACCATGCAAGAGCAGAAAGGTAAAAAATTACTCTGGGAAGCTTAAGAGGTTACATGGGAGATTGTGGGTACATGGTGGTGTACTTCTTCCATGACCAAGAAATTAAGACAAGATATTGAAGACTACAAAACACAGTGAGGGTAAAAAGCAATAGGAATGAAAACACCATGCTTCCTGGATTCATGGAACATGAATAGGGAAGCAGGCAAATGTTTATAAGAAAAGTATAAAATATATGGAGTTAGTAGAGAAAAATCCATATTTCAGACAAAATCAAAGATGAGAATGGCCAGTACTAGGAGAAGAGAGAATACATGTTGATATTTATTAGATATAAAATAAGAATGCCTGTCTTAAGTGGGGTCAGTGAGGTGAGAAGTGAAGTGGGTAGGTGTAGAATATCTTTTCTGTATTTCATGAGGCACCTATATATGAGTGTTCTGTACATTATTTTAAAATGTAATTCTGTACATTATTTTAAATGTAGTTCTGTACATTATTTTAAAATGTAATTTGTCATTAAAACTAATTAATCTACTGTAAGTTTAATCACTATATAAGATCTAGATCTACATTTTAAAATGATCTGCAGGGGATACAGTAATTGCCACATATCCTATAATTTGAAACTGGAAGATTTCTACCAACAAACTTCCCATAAACAGATACAAGCACATCCTCGGTAAGAAAGAAATAATGAAAGATTATCTTTGGCTCATAATTTTAAATTTCTGAGAACACTTCATGAAGAAGGAAAGTTTAGGAAAAATCTAAAAAAGATATTTCATAACCTTCTATAAAACATTAGTAATGGCAGGCTATATCCTGAAAGTTCAATGCATGGTGAGTTTTTTTTATTCCTAAATTACTGGAAATAATGAAATTTGGGTAATTTTATTAAATATCAATAGACTTAGTCAGTGCTATCATGAAAAAAATTCCTGAATCTTTCTGATTATATATATATATCACTATAATCTTTTCTAACATATTGCAGAGGCAAAATTCAGAAACAGAAGAAAAGCATGATATTATATCTCCTTAATCTAATTCATACTTGTCTATATTTAAGTACATTTCTGGGCATTAAATATTCATACCTTTTATTTGAACTCAATCTTTCAATAGTGTTAATGAAAGTTCTATTATTGCTTTTCTTTTAAAACACAAGGTGTTAATGTATGAAATGTTTTTTTCTTTAAAAAAACCCCTCAATATTCAGGTTTAATTGCAGTATTGGCATTTTGCAATAAATAAGTAGGTTGTAGGTTTGAAGTTTGGGCACTCGGTCTCTAAAAGTTTCACCACACAGCAATAGATTATTCAGCCATAAATAGCACTGATACACTGATCCATGCTGCCATGTAGATGAACCTTGAAAACATAATCATATTTAAAAGAAACCAGTCAGGAAAAGTCATCCATTGCATAATTCCATTTATATTTCATTTTTGTTCTAAAATAGGCAAATCCATAGAGTTAAAAGATAGACTAAACATTTACAGAGTTGGGGAGAAGGAATGATGAAAGGCAGATTTTCTTTGCAAGCTGATAAAATGGTTTGGAAGTGAGATCATGGTTGCATTCAATGGATTTGTAAATGTAATAAATTTCACAGTCCTGAGTGGCAATTCTTATGATATATGAATTATATCCTAGTGAAAGCAGGGTCCACAAAACAAATGCCCCTACTACTGATGGCCAAAGAGATACTGAGTTCTATTCACCTCTTCTTTGCTGTTCTTATTCAGGGTACAAGATTACAAAGAGAAATGCTATTTGTTTTACCCCAAATTTTTGCTATGAATATTGCTGTCTTGTTCTATCCTAGCCTGAGATAGCAGTTTGGGAAAAGGAGGGTAACAGCTACAGTTTACATGTTATCCACATCATCTGTCAACCGACCACATGTGAAAACTTGGTCCCTATGTTTTGTCTTCTTCCTGGGTCATAATTGTCACCAGCCTTCTTTAGCACATGCTGCAAACTTCCATAACACCCTCATCAAAGGGCTAAAAAAAACAAGACCACTTCCTCTTGGATTTGAACCTCCAGAAACATGACCCCAAAGAAACATCCAGTTACATCATAAGGAGCTTGTGTCAAGTATTCCATTGTAGTGACACAAAGATGACAAATATCATGGGACACAATTTTACTGTCTCTCTGGGCTCCATACTTAGATGAAATCATGGTGTCTCAATTTTTACTAATTTCTCCACATTTTTTTCTCAGTTGTATCAGGATCTCTATAGGCCAAACGCAACACTTTGGTTCAAAATTTGGCTCTATAAAATTATATCTCCTTGAAAAAGTTGTTAAAGTTGTCATAGCTTTTCTGTTTTCATTCAATAAAATTTAGATTTTTTTTTCTGTGCAGTTCTCAGCTGAGTACCAAATACATGTTCCTCTTCTATGCAGGAATTGACCTTGGAAAGGAAAGAATCACAGATCATAGTCCAAGTGTCTTAGCAGATGATACCACCAAAGGAATATAACAGAGCTTTGTGCTGTAACATAGCTTCAACATAACCACATCCTTAATGACTGTTAGAAATGAAATACGGTTCTGTCCATTAATGAACTTGACTTTTATGAAAACTACAATTCACTATCCAAACCAGTGAAAATATAATGTACTAAATCATTAGTTAGAAATGCAACAGAACGTGAGAGAAGGCAGAAAACTTTCAGTAAGACACTGCATGCACAGTGGATTGTGCCTGAGGTAAAATATGTTGAGTGTCAGGGAATAAGCAAAAGGTCATCTGTAATATTTCCAAAATTTAGGTATTAATCTGACAAATTTCTCAGGTGTGTAGTGTGCATACTGACAAACTAATTCAATCAGCACTCTTTTTACTTGAAAGCATAAAAGTTAGGAGATGTGCATTGCCAATTGCAAAAGCTTCTGATTGAGTTAAATCAACCCTCCGAGGCTTGTAAGTTAACAATCACCAATAAAATGGGGGAGGGGGCAGTTTCCAATTTC